CTTCAGGGCTGGGGTGGCGGTGGCGCGCGCCGGCGGCGGGGGCGAAGGCGCTGTCCGCGGTGCTGAAGCTGGCAGTGCGCACGCGCCACGCCGCATCCTGATTCCCCTCCCCCGCCTCAGAGAGGGGATGCGCAATTTGGGGGGTGGGGGTGGGGTGCTTGCCTAGAGGGGCGGGTCAGTTGTCAGGCTGGCACCCCCACCCCACCTCATCCTAGGCCTCACACTCACTCGCACCCACATGCAGGGCCTTCCGCAGAAACTCGGTTTAGTGTTGATATTAGCCACAGAAGGTATTTTGGGGATGGGGGTGAAAACACACTCAGAGACCCAAAAGTAGAAAACTAACCCCCTGAGAGCGAGGGGTGAGGTCACACACAGAGCCCCATGAGGAGATCAGTCTCCCACGTCCACTCAAGCTCAGCTAGGCAGAGAGAAGGGGGTGGGGGGGTGGCGTAGACAGCATCAGACAATCCGAGGTGGACACTTGGATGGTGTACATGCTCTTGCTTTGGTGTCAGGGAGACTGGAGTCATAAAGAAAATGATACACTCGTGGAAATGTATATAGTCACATACAAAAGTAAGGAAACACATGGGGGTGTGTACGGACAGAAAACACATGGATCTGGATATACAAGCATATAGACATACAAGTCCTGGGTAGCACACATGGGCATGTTGCATACACACATAAGCAACACACCAATACACAGAGGCCCAGGGTCACTCACATGAGCCTGAAGACCCAGACAAAACATACCCACAGAAGATCCTGGAGAAGCTAGATCTTCAATACAGTCATTGTTCCTGAAGCTCCAATATTGATGTGTGTCCACACCACCAGGCGGTCAGTCTAAATGCCTCCATTCCTCACTCTGGACAGCCCCAACCCACAATAACCACCTGATGCCATAGTACACGTGACTGTCTCCCCTGCATTCGAGAACTTTCCACAGATGGAGGCAGGCCCATCCCAGGATACACACACAATGCTGACTACAATAAAAGTACAAACCCATAAATAGTCATTTATTGACTGATTGTACCCAACACTTAACTAAGCTGTTCACACGCACTATTTCATACAACTCTCACAACAACAATGCTAAGGAGCAGATGATATAATCTCCATTTTATACATGAGGGAATCTGGCAACTCCAATTCATTCCCAAGGAGTTATGTTCACTTTACACTCCATACATTTCTTTTCTTTTTAAGAATGCACCAGGAGGGAGGAACAGCCAGTACTAATGTGGCTGGAACAAAGTGAGGGGAGATGGAGGCAGAGAGATTAGCAGGGGCCACATTGGGTACGGCCTCAGCCATAGTGAACAACGATGGTACCAAGTGAGGTGGCAGAAGATATGCAAGAAGTAGGTAGATTTGGGGCCTCTTTTGTCTGTAGGGTTTTCAGATGAATTATACACTTATTCATTTGTTCATTCTTTATTCATTAAATCATTGGTTTAAACAAGGCAGTAGTAGTGTAGGGTCACAGTGCCTGGGCTCAAGTTGGGCCTCCACCATTCCCTATGGAAAGTGACTTATCCCCCACCCCCATGCAACAGGGGATGATAACAGGCCTCACCTTTAAGGAAAGAGGAAGGAGAGGGACAACCTTTGTATTTTTACATGTGAAGTAACCTCTTTTTTTCTCTCTGTCTGTCAAGGGCTGCCTTTGACCAGAGTCTCCAGGAAGCCCTCTTGCCCTCTCAGATTTCATTCCCTCTCCCAAGGCTCCCACAGCCCCCAAGCAAAACACTTCCCAAACCATCCTCTACTCCCTTCTCCATCACAGCCAGTTTCAGTTACACCTCCAGGCCTTTGTTTTGGCTACTCTGTCCTCCTTCCTCCAGGATGCCCTCTGTGGCATTCCAAATCCCAACTTTCCCCAGATGGGGAACTCCCCACAAATGGGGTATTTTCCAACATTTCAAAGTATGTTCTTGCAGTTTTTTTGCTCAGCAACAGAAACAAACAAGCTATGTCAGCAGTGATGTTCTCTCTGGGGAACAGGAGCAGCTGCGAGTCTACAGACCTTTCTGGCTCCTCTGGGCCTGAATTCAGGCCCCTTAAGAGTCTGTCTCCCGACTGAGCCTCTTCTTAGCAGCCCTGTTCCCAGATTTCTTAGTATGTGTGACCTCCAGCATCATTCCCCTTTTTCTGGTGGCTCGATTTTCAGAAATTAATTTTTTATAGATTGTTTCATAGAGGAATGA